AATGTTAAAATCTGTTAGTGCACAATTTATTAACAGTTACCACACTATACCACATCTTATATTATTATGACAAAGGTTGTATCAAAACAAAACTTCTATGTTTAGTAAACTATAAGATTTAAGTGTTTAATGTCTTTATTGAATTATATATAATACATGCCAAATCCAGACCAAAACATGCAGAAATTAACCACTTAATCTTTCAAGCCACTGGATGGCGCCAAATCATTGTAACTTTATCTAAAAAAATGATTTGCCTGACATATCCTTAAGTGCCACTTGATGGCATCAAAAAGCCACTCAAACATCCTACTACCTGCAGGATGGTAATTCATACTTTCTTTATCGTGTCTTTTTACCAAAAAAATGTGTTTACTCTCCAGGCAAACAAGTTGCCTCACACTTTGAGAAATACTTATTTTTCCTGCCAGTTTGATGTAACTGTTGTTTTTGTTTCTTAACAATCTGCATCCCTCTCATTTTCTAAGACTTTGGAAGCACTTCAGTGAATCACCTGCCACTTTGTTTGTTCTGAATTAGGCACGTTGACATGACACAAATAGTTTTGTGAAAACAGTTTTCTAATCATTAACCAGTAAAAACTCAGTTCATTGATATACTACAAGTTGTGAGACCCATTTCTGAGATCAGGAAGAAAAAAACATCGTACAAAAAACGCAAGTCTTCTAAGGAAGGCTTATCTTTAGTCATGCACAAAACCATAAGATAGCTCACTTGAAGTTTACCACATGCTCTTGGGAGACAGAAAACATAAAAAGAGAAAGTAATCCAGACAAATGAGACCAGAATTAAACTTTTTTGGGGGCTCTGGAACACAAAATAATATTGCAGTAACTCAACACTGCACATCATCTCCATCAGTGCACCATCAGAGCAGTGAAACATGGTGACAACATCCTGCTGTTTGGGTTCTATTCATCAGTAGGTACCCGGAAACCTGTCAGCTTTAAAGGCATAATGTATGGAGCAAAATTGATTGAAAATATATAACTATTTATTCCAAGGGAAAATAAATTGCATTTAAGTGTAGTTTTCAATATTCTAAAAATTATTAAATAACCTTATGCTAGGGGAGAAGCACAATCGTTTATTAGGACATTTATAAGAACTGCCTAAAATGTAATCAACACAATAACAAAATTATCTTCATACCATAAATAAATCACTTAATATTAAAGTGTTTCAAGTGGGATACTGTAACAGCAGAGAGGAGGTAATCTCAGTTTCACACTCTAAGATGTACCGGTACTGAACCTGGAATTTGGATTTATAAGACATTTAATTATATGAAGAATTAAATATGATTACATTTTCTGCAGTATGCTACACTGCATTGGGTGAAAAGGACATAAAGGAGTGGCATGGGGTGTCAGAGAGGGGCACAGGGACAGAGGGAGAGCAGTGATGGCATACCTCCAGCCTTATATAGGGACTGTTTGTCTGGAGGGCTCAGTTGCTCCCCTAGGGAATGTCCAGGAATAGAAAGAGGCATTAGTAAAGAAGGTGTAAAAAACAAGAAGAAGAAGAAGAAGAAGAGAGTGAAACAAATTATATTTTTTTTAAAAGTGTAAGCAGTTTCATGTTCATCCTTCTTCTGAAAACCAAATCATCTCACTCTTCCACAACTTTCTCTTTCCCCTACGTGTAGAAGGAGGTTCTTCTGTCAGATCCTTGAGGTGGGCAGAGCATCAGCTGCTGCTGTCAGTCAAGACACCAAACAGGCACTCAATGAAGTTGGTGACATAAGTTGGACGGCATGAAAGCTGAACTCACACTGTGGCCCGCTGGAGACGGCCGGGTAGAGGACTGGGAGGGGTGAGAGCAGGTTAAGATGGAAAGGGAGATGTCGGGGCTCAAGACAAGAAGAATAGCACGCGGGTGATGAAAGGAGGAGTTTTGTCCAATGGGAGAAAAGCAGTGGAGAAATCGTGATGGGTGTGATGGCTAGACAAGCGAAAGGGAGAGAGGAGATGGTACAGATAGCATGTACCAACAACTGTTTGGTACGCAATCATGCTGCATTAAATAAAATGCCTAGCTGTAGTGGTTATGTTGCACAACCCATGTACCGAGGCTGTAGTCCTCGTAGCAGCGGCCGTGGGTTTGAATCCAACCTTGGCCCATTGCTAAATGTCACCCCCCACTCTCTCTTTTCAACATTTCCTGTCTCTCTTCAGCTGTATTATCCTTGAAGGCAAAAAAAAAAAAGGAAAAGCCTCTTATCATCTTTTTTACATTACATATTATTCTTGATCTGAACAGGACATTTTTAACTTTACATGTTATATTTAGTTGATATTACAGCTGCTTCATTACCTCAATAAGGCTTGATTCAAAGATATTTTGTCCAACTAAAGTGATTTTTTTATCTGCAATAGAGCTGAATGAGAGGGAGACTGCTATCTGAGAATATTACTGTATTTTTTTAACATGATAAAATGATTTGAGTCCCAGCAAAGCTTTTAACAACCCTAAAAGAAGTATTACTGCGGGCGTTTGAGTCTAATGCTAATACCAGCATGCTAACATGTTTCTGTATCCATGCAGTTCCTGTTTTCCAACAAAAAAAACATCCTTTCCAAGTGTGAGTGTTATGAGAAGAGAAAACTTGGACTGGAAAGAAAACAGTTTATATTCTGTTTCCCTTCTTTTAAAAATGAACATATATGGCTATTCAGGTGGTGTATGATGGAAAATTATATCCAAATTAAAACATTTTAACGTCATCCAAAATAATCATTGTAATCAAAAAATTAATGGTAGTTTTATTTTGTGCCTAAATCACACCAAAGCATTGTCAATCATGTGACTGACTTGTTTTTCTAACAGTGATTTGTGATAGCTTTGGACATCCTGAGATCAGATCAGAAAGACCTTGGAAGTGTCACTTTAAAAGTATGTGAACAAACTGTGTATTTGGTTGTATTATTTAGATGCACTCCATTTGTTGTTTCCATAGACTATTAATGGACGGAGCCTGAGTGTCATCACCCATCTGTTACTGCAGGGGGCTTTGGAGTGTTCATCGATGGTGGTCGCCATGCTGGTAATCCTGTCCCAGCCTAACTTTCAGTCAACCTAACGATGGGCTGAAAGCTGGAGCTGAGGCGGGTTTTAAGCCTCTTGACAAACCATTACATTTTGGCCACCTGTCAATCAGGTCAGCCACACGCCTTATTGTTAATAACGCTCATCCTTCATAAAATCAAAACAGATGAGTTATCAAAAAATGCAACCCTGTACAGTGTGTTATAATTGAGACATTAGCTAATCAGACCTTATTTTGTTTTTGTACCAGGCTGTAAACATGTAAAAACAAGCTTTTTTAAATGGGGTGTGTATGACTTCCGGTGCATCTGCAGCCAGCCTCATGCGGACACTCAACTAACTGAATGACTTTGCATGGCTTCCTTTTTTCAAACACGGAGGTTTCAACTTGGTTGTATAATTTCCTATTTCTTTGTTTAAGGGGAAAAAAAACATTTTTTTCTCCAATAGCTAGGTGTTTGTTCTGCAGTCTGATTCTGCCTTTCCGCTGTTAACAGGCGGGCATGGTGCAAGAAAGCCCAAGCCACCCAAGCCCATCCAGAATGAGGAGTGATCAAACACAGCTCTCTAGCATTTAAAGCTAGAGACGCAGAAACCTCCTGTTCTATATATATAGAATATAGAAATAATCTATCTGGTTGCTGATGGTCTCCTTTGCTTATGTCATATGCAAGCTTTAGTATTCATTCCAGGAAGTTTTACAGCCAGCAAAAAAAATCTACAACAAAGCTTTAAAGGGCGCTGAAAAGAAAAGTATTGAACAAACAAATTAAAGTTGATTTTCAAAAACAAAAAACAGCCTTTGGCAAATTATTCTAAGTAAGCCAAATGACTAAGCCTGCTATATCGGCCTTGGTTTTGAAACTGGTCTCGAGACTTCATTTTGAAGTTCTTGTCTCGGAATCGACAGAATTTTTACTCGGTCTTGTCTCTGTCTCAGGCTGGGCGGATTCAGGATTTTAAATCAAGATAGACTGTATTTTGATATCATTACTGTGAGTAGAAGGAAATGCCCCTTCTAAAAGAAGAAATAACGTCAATTCCTTCAGAATTTTTGTCCCTTGGTTACGGCCACAACCTTGCCAGTGTTACGGTCTAAGTGAGTGACACGCCCACTGCACACAAGTTGAGGATTTTTCTGTGATATTTATGGTCTTGGTCTTGGCTCAGTCTCGCACTGCCTTGGTCTTGGTCTTGGTCTTGATCTGGTCTTGAGCCCTAAATGTCTTGGAGCACTCCGGTCTTATATGTCTTGGTCTCCAATTTATCAATTAAGATTTAATGAGATCCTGCATCATGTTTAACCTATGAACCATAAGTTACAGCTTCACTTTGGCTCTTTATTATAAAGGTTGACTTACCTATTCTTGGTTACCAATTTGTAGCTATATGGGTGTTTTGTTTGTTTTCTTGTTGAGGGAAGTGAGAAAGTGGTTAAAGATGGGACACAGCTGTGTCAGATCACCAGTGTATTCGCACACCTCTTAAGTTACAGATGTCATAAGTGCAAGGGCAAGTCAGCTGCAGTGAGGACAGGGAGACAGGCAGATAGATGGCTAATCGACACTGTGAATCTGTGCATGCAGGGAGGTGCTAATCGGTGTGTGTGAGTTCTAGTATGAGATGTGTGTGAGCATGCATGCGCTCTGGTTCTTGTCCAGTACGTGAAATCAAGTGTCTGCACTGAAATGCCTAGTTGATCCTCTGCCAAAATAACCTCCAGCCATGTGTTTTCTTTTTTTTTTTTTTGGACAAATGTCACTGAGCTTGTCTGTTCTCTAAATATGGGTGATTAGACAGTGTGCCAAACAAGGGGATGTCCATCAGGACATTGTGAGAGGGCACACACTAAAGTTGGCTTTGATTGGCTGCCTCTTGTCCAATCCTCATCATTTTCAGTAAAAGCCAGGCAGGATGAGAGGGTACATATGGGGGAGCACAGACGCAGTGCTACCTGGACTTTATAGCAGGGACTTTATTTCTTAGACGTTTGTCATTTCTCCTGGTGTCTGTCGTTCAGCACAGCCGGCCAACATGGTAAGAAACTGAAAACAGAGACGGAGGTTTAAGGGAAACAACATCTTCAGAAAACGAGTTTTGATTTTATCTTTGAGGATTTGCTTTTGTTTTATCGTGAGGATAAAAACCAGAAGATGGATTCATTATTATTTGAAGGATAAACTAACTCATTCTGCTCAGCCGAGGTCACCCAGCAAGTTCTCATCTGTAGCACAGCTGGATTATCAGATGGACTCTTTAAAGTAGTGTTTTATCTCTTGGAAACATTTTTTCTTTTTTTGTGAAAACTTGGGAAAATCTATACTATTTTTCCTTTTTGATTTCTGCTAACTATTATAACTCTTCTTTGCTGTTTGTTAACAGCCTGGAAAGCTTTCACGCTGCCTTTGTGCTCCATCACTTTGTAACTTTAAACTTAATAACATTAATATTAAGATTGAAGGGAGCGACACTAAAGATAGAAAGCACACAGCTGAGTAAAGTGAGACCACATTCTGCCTTTCCTGAATGTCCTAAGTTTGGAAATTAACCTTGAGAAAATCCCTTTCAAATCCTCTCCCAAGTCTCACCTTAAAAATAGCTCTGAAGTGAACTAATGAGTGGAACGAATGGAAGAGCTTCCATACGTCACCATATTGGCATTGTTTGGTCCGGCTGCCTTACATATCATGGAACAGGGGGTCTATATGATAACGATATGGGAATATTATTGGCTTCAAGTGCTCTGTCATTGTGCTTTGCTAACTTCTTGTTGGAGAGAGCCTATTGGTGTTTGCTGTTTCAAACAGAAATATGAAAACGCAGATTAGATTGAACTTTATCCCCAAGGAAACATGACACAAAAAGGGAAAGTTGCATAATTAAGGAAAAATATGTGTTGGATTGTCGTTGTGTTATCATCTGACAAAATGTCTACATAGAGATGCTAACTAGAAAGGAAAACATTGTTGGATCAGATTGGAACAGCATTTATGTGAAGTCCAAAGCTTTAAAAACTCCTGATGTTTTTGTGCTAATACAAAGTTGTACATGTGGGGAAAACCTGCTTTTGTTGTGCGCCCCTTCATGAGCTGCCATTTCCACAAGAGCCAATCTGATTTATCGGCCGGCCGATAATATATTAGCATATCCAGAGACTAGCGATATCGGCTCATTTTAACGCAGAGATGCACTGATATTACTAGATTTATTCACCAGTTAAATAGCATTTCATTTGAGTATCATTGAATTACACTAGCAGTTCTCTTACTGGCTGTCACCAGCAGAAGGCGCTATATGGATCACAACAAGCATTGTCACTCTCCAGAGCGACCATCTTGTCTTCATTATATATCTTTTCCACAAGTGTTTGCTAACTGCATTAGAGGGATCAAGGCAAAACAGTTATATTTCTATATCTATCTATACCGATCAAAGATAGATCTAAGAAAGATATCAGCCAATGTATCTGAATTGGATTATTCTCTTCCAAATAATGATATCGGTATCGGCCCCTAAATTTCATATCGGTCGGAGCCTAATTTCCACTTAAGATAAAGACTCTTGTTTTACCAGTCATCAGGGTATTTTCCAGTCTTTGGCTGTCTCTTCATTAATGAAAGTTCTGGTTTGGCTTTGGGTTTCTGTTTTGGTTTTGTCTGGCTCTGTGGAGAAGCTGAGCTTGAGTATGAGTATTGAGTAACTCGAGCATACGAGTGAAGGAGAGGCAGTTTATGAGATACTTGTGTGTTAGTGTGTCAGCAGTAGCCGAATGTGTTTGTGTGTGATGGTGTGAATGTTAAAAATGCTATTCACACTTTGAACTGCAGTCATCATCACTGGTCAACTCCTGTTCTGTTAATGTGGCCATCACTTACACCTTAAGTGACATTATTTTGTGGTTGAAGGTGAATATATCTGGAAATAGTAACCTTTCTTTTTGTCAACCTCCGTCCTCTAAACCTTTTTCTTTTTCACCTCTTTAAAGCCCACTGACGCACAAAGCGATGCCCGCTCCTTCCTGACTGAGGAGATGATTGCAGGTCAGTTTCCTCCACTGCTTTTCATCACGACCTCCTGCAGTTTGTAATAAAACAAATTGAATCTGTCATTTGTGCTTCAGAAGCAGCTGAAAATGGTATAATGCAAAAGAGTTCTCGTATTGAAGATTTGTTCTCATTTAAACGGTTTCCTTCTCTTGTCTAGAGTTCAAAGCCGCCTTCGACATGTTTGACACAGACGGCGGCGGTGACATCAGCACCAAGGAGTTGGGTCAAGTGATGAGGATGCTGGGTCAGAACCCATCAAGAGAGGAGCTGGATGCCATCATTGAGGAGGTGGATGAGGATGGTGAGATCATTATCATTATGAAACAAGATGTTAAATCATTAAAGGCTGTTTGATGAAGTCAAGATAGTTTTTTAGGAGTTTCACTTCTATCACTTCTCTCTTTTTCTCCCCTCCTCAGGCAGTGGTACTATCGACTTTGAGGAGTTCTTGGTCATGATGGTGCAGCAGCTAAAGGAGGACCAGGCTGGAAAGAGCGAAGAAGAGCTTTCGGAGTGTTTCCGCATTTTTGACAAGTATGTTCGTACAAAACTGCCAGAGAGACAAATACAAACGCCACTGTTGTTAAGATTTAAATGCTGCGCTGGACTTTAATGCTAGGCCTGTGTTTATGTCCATTAACCAATCTTTATTTATCAATATCTGATACTAAATCCAGTCTTTGCATTTGATACTTACTTGTTCACATTTATGTGATTAATTTGTTGGAGCGAGTAATTCTTCTGCTTTAACCTGAAATAACAGTTTTAGCCACTCAGAGGCAGCAGATTCAAAAGAAAACTGACCCTCAGTACTCCCACATGCTCACAACTCACTCCCAGCTAAATGAAGCACCCTCATTCAGAAGTCAGCTAAAAATAAGTGTGAGCTAGGGGACAAGTGTCCCTCCCTGCAGAGAGAACAATACTTGTTCCTTTTTGTAGCCATGGTTTCATATCACAGTTCTAATAATAGAATACTTACAGTATCCATGAGGTGGCAGACTCACTGTGACACTCCACAGCAGGCACAGCTTTGACAAAGAAGCTCCATCCGCTTTTTGTTTTGGTGTTTAAAGCAGTTTTTTCTTTGCACAAGTCCCTGTAAAAAACACTTTATTATTAAATGAACACACCTACTCTTTTGTCAACAAAGGATGGGGATATTATCCTGTAACTTTTGAGTTGTTAACATCTCTAGAAAAATGATAAATGCCCATGGTAGTTTGAGGACTTTACATTTGTGTGGATTAGTTGGTCAGTACTTTATCTGCCTTTACAAACACGATATAGCATTGCACATAATCAGTGGCATTTAATGAGGCACTTGAGCTTGCAAAGAAGACTGGAAATGGTTTGATAAAATCCTGTCTGTCTGCTATTTGGGGTTCCTCAGGTAGTGTGAATTGGACTTTAAGACTTTTGAAATAATGCAATGAGGGTGCTGAGTGTGATAATTAGCCAAAATACTCAAGTCGTTTGCCAGTCAGCTGAAATGAACAATAAAGCTCTCTTTTGCTAAAAGCTGCAGATTTAGTTGATTACTTTCAATATGATACATCGTGTTACACTTTTTTAAAGATGATATTTTGGGTATTTGTATGCCTTTATTGTGGAGGATAGGACATAGGACAGAGCAGGAAATCGAATGAGAGCATGGGAAGGCATGTGGCAAAGTGCAGGAGTCGGAGTTGAACCTGGGCCACTCCAGGACTGAAGCCCTCTGGACATGGGGTGAACAATTATAACCAGGCTATCCAGCACCCACATTGTGAAAAACAAATATAACCACTTCAATCACTGCTCATAGCAACATATCTAACTCAGGAACTTGGAGGGAAAAAAATAGCTAAAGGAGAGTAAATGTTACTACATTCACTAATTGGCTCTTTTTCTCTTGGATGACCTAACCTGAGAAGTGTTTGACCAAATATTTACCATGGCATCTTTTCCAAA